TTACCTACATGGGCTTGGGGAGCCCTCCCTCGGAAGTGTCTCTCAGGCCAGGATGTGATGTCTATTTTAAAAGTAAGAAACTGAGGGGCAGGGACGACGATGAAGCCTTTGCTCTGGGTCACCCACCAAACCCGCTGCTGTTGAGTTGATCATAGCAACCCCATAGCTGGTGTTCCCCAAAGTGGGGCGATGGCGTGATCCACGGGTGCTTCAAAAGCAGACACTTACCTTTTACCCTGGATTAGGGGCTAGGGTACAAAAGTTTTTCCTTGTGGGGGTGGTGGTGGTGGGGAACGCTGAGTAATCTTTCTTCGGAAAAGATGGTGGTAGGCCAAATAAGTTTGGGGACCAGTGCTTTGGACCATCTAGAAGGGACCTGAAGCTGTAACGCTTTACCGGAGGGCTGTCTCATCTTTCTCCCATGGAGCAGTTTGGGTTTGAACCACTGGCCTTGTCGTTAGCAGCCCAGCTCTTAACCTACGATGCCACGGGGGCTCCTTTGGGTCACAGGAGTGGATGGCAGTGGGGGAGTCAGGTTTGAAGTCAGGTTTGCCCGACCCGGACAGCCCACGCTCCTAACTACTAGGCGTTTCTGTCCGTGAGGGAGAAAGCAAGACACCGTCACGACAGATGACCAAACAGCCACAGACGTCTTCCCCTCCCCTGCACCCAGGCCTTTCTGTGATGGACTGTCACCTCTCCCCTCGAGACCTGGGGTCAATTTCTTCACCCCTTGAATCCAGGGCTGGGGTGACTTGCTTTGGCCAATGGGGTGCAAGCAGAGGGTTGGGAATAAGTGCTGCAGGCGGGTTGGTTCAGGGGTGGGGGGCGGTGAAGCTCCCCCTCTGTTGTTCTTGGGGGCTCCGTGAGCACCATTATGTGAACAAACACAGCTCTCCCTGCGATGAGCACAGCCAAGTCATCCTTACGGTTCCAGTTGACCCTGGGCCGCCTTCCACTACGTGAGGAAGCCCATCCTACAAGCGTCCCGTGCAGGCCCTGCCAAGGTGAGCTCAGAGACAGCCGAACCAATCCAGATCCAAAGAGGCTCCCTGCTGGCCCGTAGAATTGTGAGAGAAAACAACAGCTCACTGTGTTTAGCCCCCAAGACTGGGATGCTTTGTTACACAGCAAGTGCTCACAGCTACCATCTTAAAACAAAACCAGATGATGCATTACAAGCAATACAATGAGAAGGTTTGCCTAGGAGGTCTCTAGAGCCTTGGGGTGGTAGGCGGGGCACGTAGTGGATTACAAGTTGACCTGCTAATTGCCAGGTCAGCAGTTCAAAACCACCAGCTGCTCTGTGGGACAAAGATGAGGCTTTCTACTCCCTTAGAGAGTCTCAGAAACTCTCAGGGGCAGTTCTACCCTGTCCTATAGGGTCCTTCTCTCAGAATGGGCTTGAAGGCCATGAGGGAGGCCGGCTCTAAAATATTCAGCTGCATGGCACTCAAGGAGAAGGCTTTGAGTGACAGCTGCCACCTTTGTGGCTCAAGACTGGACCCCCCAGAGGGCTCAGCTTACGGCACCCCCACCACCACATCTTGTCCACTTCACTAGACTCCATGGAAGGAGTGGAGGAAGCTACTTCTCTGGCCTCACCGAAGGTACGGGTCCCCAGCAGCTTGTCTGAGGAACATCAAGCTTTGTCCCCTCGTCCAGGATAATTCCTCTCCTGGGTCAGACCATAAGCTCGAACGTTTTCCAAGGATGACCCCCAAATAAATTACTTCGGACTTAACAGAAGCTGCTTAATAAATTCCGCTCCTCTCGTTTTTTCCTTGGGTATTTTAGAAACTGATTTATACATACAATATCTCTCTCAAAATGAGACAATCAACACAGGATAAAATTATTGAGTTATAAAAATAGGGGTCAGATGGAGGTGCAGCGCTTTAAATTAAACCGGCAAAATATATCTTTCATACTAAATGGACTCTTTTTGTCTTGGAAATGAATGTTTAATCAGTTAAGACACTGAAGTCGAGGGAGAAGCCTTAAGCATATTTAATTTTGTAAGAGAAGGCCCGATTCCAATACTTTCCTAGATTCCTCCAAGCATCTGTGCCTTCAGAGCGGGAAGGCCGAGGCCTTCGCTGGCCGGGGAGGCTGAGCAGGCTGGAGCAGGGGACAAGGAGGCCGCGTGGCCTTTGAAATACCTGGTGTTATGAGGTGGCTATCAGATAGCTTGGCCTCACCCACATCTCCAGGAACGGTACCTGGGCTGACAGCCTCCGGAGCACCTGGCCAACAGGGCAGCTTCAGTGCTACCTGCAGCCCAGGGGCTGACAGCTCTGTCCCTTGATCGCCTGGCAAAACTGCGAAGTGGACAGTAGGGGTCAGGACTGGGTTTGAATTCTGGTTTTGCTGGCCAATAGCGATGTGATATTGATTCATTTATAGAAAAGCCTTCTAGAACCTCCCAGGGGTCAGGCCATCACTTTCGAAGGATGTGATAATTGGGCGTCTAAGTCAGGTGCCCCTTCTGGGTGCTCGGAGCATCAGGGGCAGGCCTTAAAGGAGAATGAACTACGTTTTCAGAAACAGACACTTGTCTCCACCTGCACCGGAGCTTTGCACGGGCACCCTGTGTATTCAGAGCCTGGAGCAATGCCTGGCACCGGGCAGGTACCAAGAAAGGCTGTTGGTCGGCAGAAGAGCTCTACGGTGGGTTAAAAACTGTCCCCACCCATTTCTACACAAGATCTCAGGTCCTTATCTTAGTTACTGGACTCTGCAAATGTTACATCAATTGCAAAAGTGTTCCCTCCACCTGTCCACCCCTGCCCTCACAGGTGCAATTTAGATAATTTGAATTGCTTTTGACTCATACGCGACCCTGGAGGACAGGGTCGAACTGCCTGAACTACCCCTGCGGGTTTCCCAGGCTGCACATCTTTACAGAAGCAGAACGCTTTAACTTTGTCTTGAGGTCAGGCTGGTGGGTTGCAACTGCTGACTTTGGGTTCTAAATGCCATAATAGGGAGAACAGTTCCAGTGACAGAAGAGGAGATGGTGATGGAGTGATGTCCCAAGCCAAGGAGTGCCTGGAGCCACCAGGAGCTGGGAGAGACGAGCAAGGAGTCTCTCCGGAGACCCCAGAAGGAGCATGGCCCGGCAAGCACCCTGGTGATGCCTGGTGACTGGGACTTTGGACTTTGGTCCTCCAGTATGGCACGGGGTGGGGTGAGGGGGCACTAATGCCATCGCCCACTTCCTCGGAGCCTCTGCTCCCTCGGTTCTGTGGCAAGACTTTCTTCACCAGCAACTTGTAAGCAGCACGGGAAGAATGTTTGTAAAGCCCTCTGTCAGCACTGGACACCTAGTAGGTGGTTCCAGCAGCACCCATTGAGCCCGCATGCACGCTCAAACACACACACACACACACACACACACACACACACACACACACACGCACGCTTTTGCTTTCAGCCAGCAGTTCAGGCCAATTTAAAAAATTTGTTTGCACAGCCCCATGTCACGCTCTGCCAGACACTCACCAGGTGTCTATAGTCTTATCTGGTTTTCCCAGTTGGCCTGGCCACCCTCCCCCCAGGGAAAACAGCACGGTTTATTTCTCATTACATAATGGGGGTTGGGGGCAGGGGGTGGGATACACAATCCCCCAGCCCCGGCCAGCTCTGACTAATGGGAGAAGGAAGGCTGTCTGAGTTTTCAAAGCATCTCAGGCTGAGCCCCTTTTAAAGAAATCTGTCCAAACGACTGCAAAGTGCTTATTTGGACAGAGCCCAACAAAAGCATTTCCTAGGAAGGGCGACTAGGGGGTGATGGTTGATCAGTAGATAGCGTGCTTCATAACCGTCAGCGCTGTTATAACCAGGTGGCCCTACAAATGGACCCGGGGCTGGGCAAGTCTGTCCTTTTAGGTAAATGAGACTTCAGAGAAAGCATGGCAATTTGGTTACAGGGGAGAATTGATTTTTATTCCAAACAAGAATCAGAGCAACAATACCCTTGTGCCTTCCTCTCTACCAGGCACTGGCTAGGGCCGGGCCTGCCGAGTCTCAGGTGTTCTGCCTTAAGGATGCCAGGTATGTACTGCTACGGGTCTCAAGACAAGGGAACTGAAGTGAGAGAGGTGGAGCCAGGGGTGTAAAATGGGTCCCCTGGGATTCCGGAGCCTAAGAATCAGCCCTTTGTGCCAGAAACCCGTACATCGCCTGAGCACGGAGTTCCGAACCCTGATGGCCCTGCTCTGCTGGGCTCCTTCTCATTGCTCCCTCCCTGGCTCGGTGTCCTTCCTGCCCAGCCCAGGAAGAGAAGGAATCCCATGGGAGGCCCTGAGCATGACCCGAGCCCTCCGGCCCTGCGCCTCTTTGGGTGTTACTCCACCACTGGGAGGGTCATCTCCTGCCTCTTTCTACCAGCATTTTGGTCCGCCTGGCAAATTTCTACTTGTCCCACACATTTCGACTCAAACACCATCTTCTTCCACAGTAGTCTAAGCAAGGTACGATTTTTCTTAAATCAGAAAGAAACAGAACTAAGAATCCATTTGCATGAAGTGTGCAGAATAGGTAAATCTCGAAAGGCAGAAAGTGGACTAGTGGTTGCCTAGAGCTTTGGGGAGATGGGGTGTGGGTGCAAGAGTTCACAGCTAACTCTGTGGGTGCATGACAAGCCATTGAGGGTATTTTAAATAGGTGACCTTCAAGTTCATGAACTACAGCTCAATAAAGCAGAGAAAAATAAATAAAAAGGAGACTATATGAAACACTAAAACAATGCCAAGTCTTGGTAAACGGCCCTCCTGAGGGAACAGTGGGAAAGTGTTCATTCTCTCCCCGTGTTCACCCCCAATATTTTGCAGACCCCCATGCACGCAGCCAACTGAACAGAGCATTGCACATGAGCAGAGGGTCTCATGTGGGCCTCATCAAGGCACTGGCATTCTGTCCCCCTCTCAGTCCCCTTCCCTGAAGTCCCCGCAGCCCCCAATGGCCAGCAGAAACCCTTGTGGGTGATGGGGACTCACCGTGGGCAGCTGGCCTGACAGCAGGTGGCTGTCCTGGGCCAGCATGTTGGAGACCATGATGGCTGGGAGATCCATGGCCTGGTAGGAGTACGCAGGGAGCAGACCGTTGGGTGTGAGGCCGTGGCACAGCGAGTGGTAGCTGGCTTCGTGGTCCCCCAAGTGCAGGAGCGATGGCTCGGGGAGGTTGGGAGGTGTTATTGGGGGAATCTCATAGTCTTCGTTGGTCTCGCTCTGGCTGTTATAGCTCTAAAACACCAAAAGGACACATGGCCTTGAATTAGAATTGTCCAACTGCAGAACATGCTCACAGCAGCAAGAATGACAATAACAATAGCCCCCTGGCAAAGGAGAGAAGGAGCTATCCCCCCGTAAGGCAGAGGACCAAGGCGGACCCCCTGATCTGGCTGGACTGCTGGCCCATCTCTAGACGATGCTCCTTCCAACTAGGGGCTCCTTCTCCGTATACAAACCCTGCTGTCCTGAAGGGTGGGGGCCAACGCCTGTTTCCCCCTGCCTCTGTTTTCCCATGAGATGTGGGCACTGTAACTCACCATCATGCCCCACCCCAACCATTTCACAGATGGAAGAATTTGGGCCCACGAAGGAAAGAGATCCATCTAAGGCTAGTCAAAGCGTTGGGAACGGGGCTATTATATTCCGGCCCTTGCCTGATGGTCTACGATAGATTCTGGGAGCCCATTCCTCATAGTCCTTGGCGTCAGCCTGGTGTCAAATCGATGGTCTAGCCACTCCGAACTAGGCTTTGGTCAGTCTTGTTACTGGATGAGCGTGTAACAGACAAGAGATACTGAGTATTCGGCTTCTGTTCTGTTTGTTTGCTTGTTTTTCTAACTCTGTGTATTAGTTTCCTGTTGTTGCTGAACAAATTCCTACAAAGTTAGTGACCTCACAGAACTCTTCCAGTTCTGGTGCTCTGTTCCTGCTTTTCCAACTGTCGGAGATGGTGGTGGTGTTGTGGGTGATGCCCTGGAACCTAATCACAAGGCCATCCGTTTGGAACCACCAGCTGTTCCGAAGGAGAAACAGGTGCTTGGTACTCCCATAGTGAGTTACAGTCACAGAAACCCACAGGGGCAGTTCTACTCTGCTGTCTACAGCTGCTGCACATGGGAATTGCTATGAGGCACCAACATTCCTTGGCTCGTGGTCCCTCCTTCCATCTTCAAAGTACATCACTCCAGTCTCCGCTTCTGTCATCACATCTTATCTCTGACGCCAACCCTCTAGTCTCCCTCCTTTTAAGGACTCTTGTGAGAACACTGGGTCCATCCAGATGGTCCAGGTAGCCTCCTGGAGACACAGAGACAGGCAGATCCAGAGGGACGGCAGCCATGAGAAGGCAGAAGTGTGCACTACCAAGGACAAAGGGAAACCACCGGGAACTAGGAGAGAGGCATGGAGCAGAGCCCCGCAGTGGGAGCCAACCTTGCCGACACCTGGGCTTCAGCATGGTGGGCTGCAGAACTAGGAAAAGCATTCCTTTCTGTTGTTTTAGGGCACCCACTTTGTGGTTATTTGTTGCGGCAACCTTAGGAAACGAATAGGACGATGATTAATGTCACTGTCCTTGCCATGAGTTTCAGCGACATTACTTCCCCAAGGACACAGAACAAGTAAGCAGCAGTATTCAGCATCCCATGATCCTTTCCCCACTGGAAGCATCCATGTGCCAAGGGGTGATGTCTGTGTCCCACATGGCCACAGTGGAATCAGTGGACGGTGGAATCAGGCGTGCGTATCACCAAACCCAAACCAAACGCACGCACTGCCATCGAGCTGACACATAGGAGCCGCTGAGGGTTTCGGAGACTGTAACTGTTTTCAGGAGTAGAAAGCCCTGTCTTTCTCCCATGGAGCAGCTGGTGGTTTTGAACTGCTGACCATGAGCACAGCAGCCTAACCGCATAACCCCTATGACGCCAGGGCTCCTTATGGGTATCACACCAGCCCAGAAGGCAGTCTTCCTGCTCAGAGCCACCTCGTCCCAGAGGATGGGCTATCTTAGGGCAAGACAGCCCACCTAGTGTAGGTGGCCCCATGGTACTCACGATCATCTACGTATCTTTTTTAATTCTTTACTTACTTTTTACCAGGGCCTTTCCTATGCCCCTTTAGATCCTAAGTTCCATAAGAGTAGGAATACAGTCTGTCTTTCCATCACTGCTTATCACAGAGCCTGCCCAACACGTAGTAGGACTCAACTAAAATGTGTTCAATGAGCGCATGAAATGGGAGAGGGAGGGGCCCGAGCGCTAGACCTCACCGAGGTGTTTCCATACCTGGCCCAACAGACTCCACCAGCCACAGGTGCCCTGAGTCTCTCACTGTTCATGCCTGTCAGCAGCCGCCCAGCCCCAGAGCTGCCAGTACAGGTGCTGGCACGTGACAGGTGCTCAGTGAGCGTGAAATGAATTCACAAGTCCAGTCCTTTCTGTTTAAAAAAACCCCAAACCTCAGTACACTGGAACCCACCCAACAGACCAGAAGCCTCTTGAACAAATAAGCATATGTTGAATCAAAATATTGGAATCACACAATTATGACAATTCATTTAAAGAGGCAATTAGCACACTTAAAAATAACTAACCATGCAAACATGTACATGCCACCTCCGAATAGAACCAAATCCTAACCGCTTGAAACCTGAGACCTACCCATTCTGCTAGTCTTCCCACTGAGCACCTACTGGGGACCAGCCACTGCAAGGCCGCTTCCACACACATTCTCCACTTCACGCATATTAATTCAGCCACGAAGCAACTAGTGCGTCCATTTGTACATGAAGAAGATGAGGCCTAGAGAGTGAAGTGCCACATAGTCAGTGAGTTAGTCTCAGCTGGGATTCAAACGCCACTTTTCCAACTCTGGCTCCACCATGTTCCTGTATGAGCTCAGATGTCTCATCGAGATTTGCAGTTCCGACATCTTTAGTTAATTGGACCACTAATTTGTTTTTTTACCACCAGTATCTTCATGAAAATATGGAATGATGTCCAGTTGTAAAATCTCCAGGACTTAAAGATATCTGTAAAACCTTACAGGGGAAAAAATATCAAACTTCTTCAAATAGCTGTCTCAAACATCTTCTTCCATGTTCTCTCAAGCACACTCTGTTAAGGATTGAGTTGTGTCTCCCCAAACATGTGTCAACTTGGCTGGGCTAAGATTCTCAGCACTATGTAGCACAGATCCTCCATGCTGTGATCTGAAGTAATTGTCCTTTGTGTTGCAAATCCTCACCCTGATGATAGGAATGCCTTGCAGCCTGCAGTGTGAATGACAACTCTCAGTGTAAAGAAGACTGAGAGCCTCACACCTAGACCAACAGGTCACCTCAGGATAAGTGGAGAAAAGGTTGAAGTTGGCAAGTATTTTGTCTGTCTTGGATCCACAATCCATGCTCACGGAAGAAACAGTCAAGAGACCAGATGATGGGGTGCATTGGGTAAATCTGCTGCACCAGAGGTAGGGTGTTGAAAATCAGGGATGTTCCTTTGAGGACTGAGGTGTGCTTGACCCAAGCCATGGGATTTTCAATCACCTCATAAGCATGTGAAAATTGGATATTGAATAAGGAGGACTGAAGAAGAATTGGTGCTTTTAAAGTACAGTGCTGGAGAAGAATATTGAAAGTACCGTGGGCTGCTCAAAAGGCAAACACATCTGCCTTGGAAGAAGTGCAGCCAGAGTGCTCCTTAGAGGCAAGGGTGGCGAGATTTCCTCTCTCCTACTTTGGACGTGTTGTCAGGAGAGACCAGTCCCTAGAGAAGGACATCAGCTTGGTAAGGTCGAGGGGCAGCAAACAGAGGAAGACCCTTGATGAGAGGGATGGGCACAGTGGCTGCAACAATGGGCTTGGGCAGAGGAACAATTGTGAGGATGGTGCAGGACTGGGCAGTGTTTCCTTCTGTTGGGCACAGGGTTGCTAGGAGGCAGAGCTAGCTCGTTGGCACCTAACAAGAACTACATGAGTTCGAATCAACTCAATGGCAGTGTGTTTGGTTTTCAGTATGTGAATAAGACAGGATACAATCTACAGGAAGATGAGGTATCTCGAGTCAGTGAGTCAGTCTCTTCTGCTATATCAAAGGGATTCAACAATTGAGTAGAAATGAGAGGGAAGGAGGTGGGGGGAAGGGAAGAGGTGTTAACAAACCCAGGGACAAGGGAACAACAAGCGATCCAAATTGGTGGGGAGGTGAGTGTGGGAGACCTGGTAGGGCATGATCAAGGGGAACGTAACAAAGAGGAAGTGCTGAAATCCTGGTGGGGACTGAGCATGATAGTGGGACAGGAGGAGAATCAAGGGAAATAGAGGAAAGACCTGGGAGGCAAAGGGCATTTATAGAGGTCTAGACAAAGACATGTACATATGCAAATATATTTATATGAGGATGGGGAAATAGATCTATGAGCCTACATTTATAGGTTTAGTATTAAGGTAGCAGAAGGACATTGTGCCTCCACTCAAGTACTCCCTCAACGCAAGAATACTTTCTTCTATGAAATTGGCATTCTATGATGCTTACCTTCCCAACACAACCGCTGAAGACAAAGCGGGTGAATAAGCAAATGTGGTGAAGAAAGCTGATGGTGCCCGGCTATCAAAAGGTATAGCGTCTGGGGTCTTAAAAGCTTGAAGGTAAACAAGCGGCCATCTAGCTCAGAAGCAACAAACCCCATATGGAACAACATATCAACCTGTGTGATCACGAGGTGTCGAACGGATCACTGAAGACAAATGGGTGCATAAGCAAATGTGGCGAAGAAAGCTGATGGTGCCCGGCTATCAAAAAGTATAGCGTCTGGGGTCTTAAAGGCTTGAAGGTAATCAAGCGGCCATCAAGCTCAGAAGCAACAAAGCCCACATGGAAGAAGCACACCAGCCTATGCAACCACGAGGTGTCGATGGGATCAGGTATAAGGCATCATCAGAACAAAAAAAATCTTACCATAGTGAATGATGGGAGTGCGGAGTGGAGATCCAAAGCCCATTAGTAGGCCACTGGAGATCCCCTTGCATAGGGGTCTCGGGGAGGAGATGAGCCAGTCAGGGTGCAATGTAACAACGATGAGAAATACAACTTTCCTCTAGTTCCTAAATGTTTCCTCCCCGCTCCCACTACCATGACTCAAATTCGACCTTGCAAGTCTGGCTAGACCAGAGGATGTACACTGGTACAGATAGGAACTGAAAATACAGGGAATCCAGGGCGGATGAGCCC